AAGTTTTTATGATTATAGTCACACTTTTGTGGTATCAATACCATTTCAAAGGACGAGAAACTTAAACCCCACATCCTCAAGAGAATTTCAATCTTGCTGTACACTAGCATTATCCAAGAGCTTTACAAAGCTAAACTATCCAGATCCTGTCTTTTCAAAGCCCCAAAACCTAACTGCTTTCAAATCTTAAACTCATCTCAGGCTAAGATCAAAAGATTAAAGGGAAGTAAGCATATTCCTGCCATCTACACTGAAACACTAAGGAAGACGATAAGGGGCTGACCTGAAGCTAAAAATTGTGTAAGACTGCTTTTAGCAGAAAGTGTTTACAATTCAAAACAACTAAGCCAAAAACACTTTTAGAATATAATTAAAATGTTTGAAAAAGATTTCACTGATACCAGCTAAAATGGTCACAACAGCAAAATCCCAATTAGAATTCCATGTTGCTTGGCACTCAAGAGTATGTTAGGTGTGGATATGGTAAGGGACCCCTTTAATCTTTGCTCTGTGAGTTCTAGGCCAACCACGGCTACAAAGTAAGAGCTAGTTTTTAAAAAAAATATGCAAGGTAAGACAACTTTTAAGAAAGCTAAAATAAAATTTTAAAAAAATTAATAATTAAACAGAATTTTGAATGATGACTCAAAAGAATAAATAGTGAATAATAGAATCCAAGGAAAGGCAATGGCATTAGGAATGATTCTGAATGTGTCTGAGAAAGAACTGACCAAAGAAGACCATAAAGCAATGATAAACCTATCTGCTCCAGGACCTGACAAATTTTTATTTGCTCTCCTAAATGCAAGAATTGTGCAATAAGCTCTCAAGACATTTAAACCCTTTACCCACACTATCCTAGTGATGGAGATACAACCCCTCACTTTTACATTAAAAACTCTTAAAGCTCTCAAAAACTGAAATTCTAGCGTTGAGCCTGGAGTACCATCCCCAACCCTTCCCAACATTTTCACAAGAGAAGTAGGTAAGCAGAGAAAAGAGGTTCCAGGGCATCAAACAATAAAGTAAAATTTAGACAAAACATTGAATAGAGGCTCTGAACTTTGGGAATAAGTGGAGGAAGGATGTTATTTCAAGAGGTTAATTTATCAGCATACAAAATGGGTTAGAAAAGGAGGCAGGAGGCTAGAACAAAAAGACGATGTATTTTTTTCCATGATAAATTATATAGTTTAGGAATGGAGGGGACAGAAGTTTGAGATAGTTTCACTGTGTAGCCCTGGCTGGCTTGGGACTCACGTAAATCCTAAAATTCCCACCACAGTTTAGCATCCTTTCACTCTTACCAGCTTCACAAGGCCAGGTGTAGTAGTGCATATCTGTAATGCAAAGACTGCAAAAGCAGAGACATACATTTAAAGAGAGCTTTACCCATGTAGCCAGTTTAAAGCAGCCAGAGTTATATTTAAAAAAAAAACAAAAAACAAAAACTTGTTTTAAGAAACATGTAAACCTCAAAACTTCTTAATTGAAAATAGTGATGGTTACTGGGTGGGAGTCAAGAAGACTAGCAAAAGAAAAGGATAGAGAGAGGTTAATAAATGGGGACGATTATAGCTAAGTAGGGCATTAAGTCCTGGCATTTCATTGTTGTGGTATTTCACTTGTATTTAATAAAGCTTGCCTGGGGATCGGGAGAGTAAAATAGTCACACTGGCCAGCATTATAGACCAGCTAGCAATGACACACACCTTTAATCCCTGTAGCCACACTAATTGCCATAGAAACCGGGCAGTGCATAACTTTAAGCCCAGTAGTTCACGCCTATAAGCGCAGTCCTAGAGAGGATTATAAAACGGGAGGAGACAGCTCTCAAATACAGTCTCATTCTGAGATTCTTAGAGGCAGGATTGCTATTTTTGGACTGAGGTTAAGAGCCAGTGGCTAGCTGCTTTGCTTTACAGATCTTCAGGTTGAACCCTAATTTCATTCCATTGTATAGTAGAGAGGTCATGGATAACAATAATAGTTAATATACTTCAAAAAGTCTATAAGAATTTGGAAAAACTTTACCATAAAGAAATGGTATTTGAGCCAGGCGGTGGTGGCGCACGCCTTTAATCCCAGCACTTGGGAGGCAGAGGCAGGCGGATCTCTGTAAGTTTGAGACCAGCCTGATCTACAAGAGCTAGTTCCAGGACAGGCTCCAAAACCACAGAGAAACCCTGTCTCGAGAAAACCAAAAAAAAAAAAAAAAAAAAGAAAGAAATGGTATTTGAAGAAAAATGTTTATCATGACCCCAAATTAAGAAATACATTTATGTATTTAAGCATTAATGATACCCCACTAATATATATCTTTCCTATGATTTCCTTCATCAGTTAATAACAGAGTAGGGCCTGGAGAGATGGCTAAGCCATTCAGAGCACTAGTTGCTCTTGTGGAAGCTAGGGGTTTGGTATCCAGCACCCACATGGTGGTTAATACAGTCTATAATCCCAGTGCCACTATCCCATCAGTTTTGTTAAAATTTAAAATACTACACTGCCCTTGTCTATAGAAATATCACCCTGAATGCATCTGACCTAAAATACTACATTGTTATCTGTTTTATTCTGTAATGTAACTTTACATCCCTGAACTAAAATCTGTTATACCAAGATAATAAAACAGATCGAGTCAGTACCTACAATTAAGAGCCAGATTGCCGGGTGGTGGTGGTGCACAGCTTTAATCCCAGCACTCGGGAGGCAAGGCAGGTGGATCTCCGCACGTTTGAGGCCAGCCGGGTCTATACAGAGCAAGTGACAGGACAGGCTTCAAAGCTACAGAGAAATCGTCTCGAAAAACCAAAATAAATAAATAAGTCTGTTATTCTCTAAAAATACATCATTAGTCCTCTCCAACACCTAAAAGAGATCCCAAATTAGTAATCGGTAGACAACATGTGACTTTTATCAGAAAAACACTTAAAAGCTGAGATTCAAACCACGTGTGGTGGTGCATGCCTTTAATCCCAGACCGCAGAAGGCAGAAGCAGTTGGATCTACAGAGTGAGTTCCAGGACAGCCAGGGCTACACACAAAGAAATCCAGAAACCCTGGGGGTGGGGGCTGGCTGAGGTGTAGGGTTTGTAGTTGTTGAGGGTTTGTTGTTCTTGTTGTTAATAGCATTTGAACACCTACAAACAATCGGGAGGCAGAAGCGGGAGGATCTCTGCTGAATTTGAGACCAGACTTCCCCCAAATATACAAAAGAAAGGAATTAGAACTGTTTCTTGAACAAACTGGTTGACCAAGATCACACCTCACAAATCATCCATTTGTTATAGCTAAGTAGCAGGCAGCCAATTCTTGCCACTTTCATATTCATTAACCCTTAAACTATAGAAAGTTGCATTCCAAAGATAAGCAAGACAAACACAGCATCCCTCACAGCTTACTATCAGTATAAAGACAAAAGATACAAACAATTAAGAAACAAACGAAACAATTAAGAAACAAACGAAACAATTAAGAAACAAACCACCACGTGGTAGGAGGGAAATAAACACTACCTAACTCTAGGAAGTTAGGGAGGGGACTACTCAGAAATAGAGCACTGCTAAGCCTCAGAAAGGGCCGTAATCAGAACTCGGGAGGACCGAGGCAGAAGAGGCTCACCAGTTCCAGGCCAGTTTGGGCCACACTGAGAGTCCCTGCTTAGAAGGAAAAAAAGATAAGAATGGGAATTATATTATTTGAACGAGGGCGAAGTGGGCTGAAAAGTCAGAGGACCCAAAAGGAAGCAAGACATTGAAGAGAGGTTATAAAAAAAAAAAAAAAAAGATTTTAAGAAAACTCAATCAATCAGGCATAGACGGAATAACAGCCAATCTTAGAACACAGGTGTTTGAAAACGAGTTCAATTTAAAGGCGAAAGCTACACCTAAGGTTGAAAATGAAAGACAATTTCAAAACAAGGCTTAAATATGTGAGTTTGGTAAGCGGATAAAATCGATTGCACAGAGCACAGTGTCTTCGGGGGTGAACTGAGGAAGGGGCAATACCCCAAATCAAGGGAGAGGAAGCACAAAACAGCACCGAGGTGAAATAACGCATAGAAAAGGGGCTTACATCGTGGGCGATAACCAAGCACAACCGGGATGGGAAGCATGGTAGTTTTGGCTGGCCACAAGTTTGCCAGTGGTCCCTTGGTGGACGCCAAGGCATTAGTGCCTCTCAAAACTCTGCTGCGCCCTGGATGGATTGCACTTCGTCCCTCCGCTTCAGTCAGGATTGTGCAGGCTTCAGGACGGGGTCGGGGCTCCGGGCTGCTGACACGCAGGTTCCCAGGGGGTAGTTACAGGCCTGGTCTGGTTGTGCTGCTGGGTAGAAGTTAAGTATAAACTACCATGCATTATTTCTTGATTTCTCTGTAAAAATGAACGGCCTAGGATTCTTAAGGAATAATCAGTGTGTGCCCATTCCGTATTTACGGGAGGAGGGGAGAGAGAGCGGAAAGGAACCAAGAAGCTCGACATCTGTCCATGCCAGTACTCAAGAATGGGTCACTCTGTGAAGCCAACTCTCCCCACGCTGGCTTTGTCTCCCCCGGCCACACTGAGATTCTCAACAGCAAATGGGCTATTTCTTGCACTTTTTCAGTCTCTCAAAGTGCCTCGTAAAGAGCCGGGTATGTCCAAAAATAAATACCACAGACTTCCTGACTGACCTCAGGCCACTCAAGTTACCTAGCTTCGTATCGTTTTTGCACATTAAACTGCCAACAAGAAGCCGAACCTGTGTCTCACACTCAAGATTTTGCTTTCCGCCCAAATCCACTGGACCTCTCCAGGTTCCACCACGAGCGCAGAACGCACACCTCCGACGCGGCAGGAAACGCCCGCCCGGCAACCCTCCCGCCGCATGCGCCCCTCGCGCCTCTGGGGAGAGCGACTCGCTCACCTACGTTCCGCTGCTGCCGCAGACACCCGCGAAGGCAGATGTCCGCTCTCCTCGAAGGAACTTCCGGCGCAAGCAGTGACGTCAGCGGGCGCGCCAAGCCCGGGCCCGCGTTCGCTGAGGTGTCGGTGTTACGGGAGGGGCGCTGCTCGGTGCTTTCGGTGGGACCGGAGGGGCGCTGCTCGGCGCTTTCGGGGTGACCGGAGGGGCGCTGCCCGGTGCTTTCGGTGGGACCGGAGGGGCGCTGCTCGGTGCTTTCGGGGTGACCGGAGGGGCGCTGCTCGGTGCTTTCGGTGGGACCGGAGGGGCGCTGCTCGGTGTTTTCGGGGTGACCGGAGGGGCGCTGCTCGGTGCTTTCGGGGTGACCGGAGGAGCTCTGCTCGGCGCTTTCGGTGGGACCACAGGGGCGCTGCTCGGTGCTTTTGGGGTGACCGGAGGGGCGCTGCTCCGAGCTCTCGTTGAATCCGGAGGGGTGCTGCTCCGCGCTCTCAGTTGATCCGGAGGGGCTTTGCTTGACGCAATCGGTGGGACCGGGCAGGCGCTGCTCCGCGCTCTGGCCGTGGATGCTCGCCCCGCAGAGAGGAGCTGGGGGTGAGGCCGCCGCGGGCTCGCAACCTCCACTCAGGGCCGCTGCACTGAAGGTAAGCAGCGACGCCGCGGCCGCACGACCCCTGTAGCCCCCCCGGCTCCCGCGACCCCCAGGGCCCCTAAAACTCCCGCGGCCTCCACGGCCCCGAACTCGGGGACGTTCAATCCACATCGCCTTTCTACCTGAGAAACTTGAGAAGTGACCTGCGGATGTTGGCTACCTGAGGCTTTTTAAATATCCTACCCCACCCCCGTGCCGGGCCCGAAGCTCTCTTCCGGTTAATGGGACCATTATCATTCTTAGGGTAGTTACATTGTTATTCCAGGTACTCGTGAATCCTGCCGACACCTGCGCTTTTTAAATCAAAATGTTAAATTCATTTAGGTTGAATGTAATTTCCCCTAGTTATTTGCAGGGTTGTAAGCCGGTGAATTGATTACTGAGCATTCTTATAAATATACAGGTTAATGTCCTTTCAAAACACGTAATTCATTTAATAAAATAATGTCACTTTATAAATTGGTTAGGCACAAAATTTAAAAAGTTAAATAACTTTATCAAAATATGAAGCTAAATTTCCTGCAGAAAAATCACTCGGGAGACAAATAGTAAGGAAATAAACAAGTATCCAAAGTTATCAAAAATGAGACTGGCGTGGTGGCCTGTGCTCGTAATCCAGGTATTTTACAGGTGCAAGAGGTTGAGGAGTTAAAAAAAGAAAAACAAAAAGAACAAATCAGGTAGTGGTGGCGCACGCCTTTAATCCCAGCACTCGGGAAGCAGAGGCAGGCGATTCTCTGAGTTCGAGGCCGATCTGGTCTACAAGAGCTTAGTTCCAGGACAGGCTCCAGAGCTCTGCAGATAAACCCTGTCTGGGTGTTTGCCGGGGTACCAAACCAAGAACAAAAAGGAGGGATTGGCAGGTATCTCTTTCGCAGGTGGGCGGGAAAATTATAGATAGCATGTACTTGGAAAGCATCTTTTTGCTTTTACCCCCAAAAGACGGAAAAAATAGCGTTTTGGCTTCTCTCGCTCTTTAAACCGCACTGCAGCAAACATCCGCTGCTTGAAAAGGATTATGGTAATTCACACCTCACCCCCACAGAACCGACTCTAATCTCTTTACTTGAATGGAGGCTGTGGCGTGCTGCCTTAATGAAATCAGTGATTGCCAGCGTTTGGTTGTATTTGGAATGAGACTCCTGATGGTTTGTTTTCCATTTTAGAGATGAGTGGTGGCTTGGCACCAAGTAAGAGCACGGTTTATGTATCCAACTTGCCCTTCTCCCTGACGAACAATGATTTATACAGGGTAAGTTTTACTATCAGTATCTAACTAATGAATTTTCTCTTTAAGAGAAAAACTGAATCCAAAAAAAAAAAAAAAAGAAAAGAAAAAAATTTAGAAGCCGGGCAGTGGTGGTGCACACCTTTAATCCCAGCACTGGGGAGGTAGATGATTCTCTGTGAGTTCAAGACCAGCCTGGTCTACACTAGCTAGTTCCAGTACAGGTACCAAAAACTACAGAGAAACCCTGTCTGGAAAATCCAAAAAAGAGAGGGAGGGAGGGAAAGAGAGGAGAGAGAGAGAGAGAGAGAGAGAGAAACTGTAGCTTAAGCAAATTACTGCTTTCTGGAAAATTGTTGGTAGATATCTCCTGTAAATTTTCATAAGAAATAATTTAAAATTTTAACATCTGTAGAGAATTTTTGATTGTTTTTTTTTTTCCATTTGTTTTTTCAAGACAGGCTTTCTCTGTATAGCCCTGGCTGTTCTGGAACTCGATTTATAGATCAGGCTGGCTTTTAACCTGCTTCTGTCTCCACAGTGTTTGGATTAAAGGCGTGCACCACTACTGATTTTATATAAAGAAAACAATATGTGCTTTATAATCAGCTAGATAATGATGCGTGCCTCTGATCCTGACAGTATGAAAGCTGAGGCAAAAGATCGTGAGTTCACAGCTAGCTGAAACTGTAGTATGCTATCTCAAAGAAAAATCAGGCTGGACCACTTGCCTAGTGTAGTTACACATTCCTGTAATCCCAGCACAAGGGAAACTGAGGCAGGAGGCCAGACTGGGCAATTTAGACCCTGTATCACAAATGAGAACAGTAAAGAGGGATACCAAATTAGACTTGGAGGTGAAATCCTAGACTGGGTGCTAAGAAATAACCGTAACTGGCGGCTGGCAGGAGTGTAAAGTATTTGGAAGAATGTTCGCCCTGAATGCACAAAGCCCTGTGTGGGATCGATCCCTAGCACCACATAAACTGGGCATTGATTGACGATGGACCTATGATTTCCAGCTGAATATTGGAAAGTCCATGTCATCCTCAGCTACATGGGGACTTTGAGGCAAGCTTGGGATGCACAAGACCCTGTCACAAACAAACAAAAGGTGACTTGAATAAAACTGAAGCAGTAGGAAGTAGTTGTCCAGGTGTCTGGAGCACAATCATTTCCACAAGGAAGGGTAGGATTAGTAAACTTACTCTCCCCTTGCTATATAGGCCTGATTAAGGCAATCTCTCTAGCTTCGCTCTGAAATGAGAACCCATTAGAAAGTTGCAATTACACAGAAGCTGCTAGCCTTGGAATCTAATGTTGCTTACATTAAGACCCAGAACTCAGCATTTCAGTACTAAACTGCATGTGATAAGTGTTATGCCCAGATCTGCAAAGTCCCCCAAAAGCCAACAAGGAGACCGAGTTCTGTGTGTAAAAGCAAAGAGCTTTTATTTTATACAAGCTTGCAAACTCAGTCTTTCCGTGTGTCCGACATACTGCAATAATTGGAGAGCCCCAAGCTCAGAGTTGGGTTTTTATAGTAGTAAAGGTGGGAGTGAGAGATTTCTAAGGCTCAGCACCCCTGATTGACTGACATTTGTCTCGGGGTGTCCTGGTGAGTGTGTTCTGGCAGGTGATCCTATCTACAGTGGTTGGAACTTTAGGCATTTCCTTTGGATGGTCTGTTCTTGGGTGGTGCTCAGGTAATCTTAGTTTTCCTGCAACCAGGTATTGCTTCAGGGTAAACTACTGAGACTCAGACCTCCATTAAGGTTATCGATGGCTGAGTTCTACTCTGGCAGGTGATAATGGTTGGAAGTAAAGAACTTCCTTTGGGTGGTCTGTTTCTATTTAGCTTATCATGGGTGGCTCCACAATAAGATCTAGATGCCTTTTCTTAGGAATATTATTTCTAAGCATTAAATAACGTCAGAATATTAATGATGGTGAAACTATAGAAATGGGAAAGTTTGTTAGGATGTATGGAGAAGTACAAGGGACGAAAGCCCCACTGTTATACTAATGGGACAAGGACTGCATCTATAGAAATAAAAAGATCCTTGTTTTTTGTTATCTTTGCCAACAAGATCTTGCTCTGTAGCCTGGGCTTGCCTCAAACTCATGGTCTTCTTGCTTCCATCTTCTGAATACTGGGATTTTAGACATTTATAACACTCCTGGCTGGAGATGCTTTTTTTATTATAGGAAGTTTTTGGTTATGTATTTAATCAGAACTCTGTCTGTCTTTAAACATTGATTGTTTAAGTCATTGGTACTGTGATATTCCGCAGTACAGGTTGAGCTGGAGCTTTGCTCGGGTTAATAGTCCCATAGATCGGGAATTCAGCTGCTACCTAGTGTGTATGCCGTAGATCTAAACATGTCGATGGTTTTTTCTCTCCGTCCACTCCCTAGGGGGAGTTTAGGAACTTGAAGCAGATTACCTTTAACTCCAGTAACTATATTATTCTAGTAACTTAGAAAAAAATTTTTTTTTGGTTTGTTGATTCAGGGTATTGCTGTGTTGCCCAAGGTGGCCCCTAAGTCATGATCTACCTGTTACATAGACTGAAGGCTGAAATTTTTCATAAAATATGGTGAAGAATCTGGTTAGTGTATACAATCAGAATATTTAATTTTGGTAATATTTTAAATTATAAATTATTCTGTGATCTTTTGTTTCAGATATTTTCCAAGTATGGCAAAGTTGTGAAGTAAGTAGTTATGTTACAAGATACTTGATTAAATAAAAATACTACTGTTAACATTTTTATGTAAAGTTCAGTTATTTTTCCATGTACATAAACACCTGACAGTTTTCATATCATAAGTGACTATGTATTATAAATAAGTAATAGTTTAAGAGCATCGTCTTAATATTGCTGAGAACCCATTTCAGGGCCTCAGACTTAATAAGAGCACTCCTAAACTGAGCTCCGTGAAGGTTTCAGAGCTTGTTCTTGATCAGTTGGAAATGTCAAGGGGGGGATTACACTGGAGTAACACTGACTCAGTACTCAAGGTGGTGTCAAGCCACTGTGAAGATGGTGTCAGATATCTCTACAGCCAAACCTTTGAACTGGCTGTAGACAGGCCTCCCACCCCATGAGTTAGTCCCTGAAACATTCTTAACCTCTGTTTACCCCCAAACTACCTAGAGACCAGTACTGAGCACAGTCAGAATTCCTAAGAAGTGCTGTGATTTCAAGCCCTTTTGTAGTTTTAAAGCCGCAACTACAGCGCTATTTTTATAAATCCTTGGAGCACATCTTCAAGACTACTTGAATCTGTTTTACTGGATACCAATCCTCATTAGCTCCAAGTAAATATAATTCCCTCTGTAGACCAGTTTGATGTTATTCTCAGCCAATAGAGGAATGAGAGCAAATTGAGATAGTTAGACTTAAATCTGTAACTACACCATGGAAGAAACCTGGAACAAAATTGTCCCAAGGAAAGGCTGTTCATCCTTGAGAGAGCATTTGGGAGTTAAATCGGTTATGTTTGGTGTATGTAAGGACTGAATGTGTAAGAAGAATGTGATGGGGTGGCCTCTGTGTTTCAGGATAGTGTCTGCTTCACAGTGTACGCTAGAATAAGCCCCTCACACCTATCCCATGTCTGAAAACAGTAGTACTCTACCTCGTTCTGCATGCTGGGAACTCAGAGGTCATTACAGATTTGCTTGTTTTGTTTTGAAGTCCTTGCTATGATATTTTTTTTCCTGTTACCAAAGAAGAGATCTATAAGTGTAGCCCCTATTATAACTGATTTACAGTGTCTCTATTACTAAACTTTCCTTTCCCTGGGGGTACATTTTTTTTCTATAGTGTTCATTGCCCAAGCCTGAATATAGCAGTGGCTGAGTATCCAAATGAACAACCATGTAGGTGTACCCTTCTAGGAAACATGTATGTGTTTTTGTTCCAACGTAATGAGTAAAATAAACAGGTTACAATGGTAGCATTAAAAGACTTTACATTAGGGCTGGAGAGATGGCTCAGTGGTTAAGAGCATCATTGCCTGCTCTTCCAAAGGTCCTGAGTTCAATTCCCAGCAACCACATGGTGGCTCACAACCATCTGTAAAGAGGTCTGGCGCCCTCTTCTGGCCTTCAGGCATACACAACAGACAGAATATTGTATACATAATAAGTAAATAAATATTTTTTTTAAAAAAAAGACTTTACATTAGCCGGGCGGTGGTGGCGCACGCCTTTAATCCCAGCACTCGGGAGGCAGAGGCAGGCGGATCGAGGCCAGCCTGGTCTACAAGAGCTAGTTCCGGGACAGGCACCAAAGCTACAGAGAAACTCTGTCTCAAAAAACCAAAAAAAAAGACTTTACATTAAAGTAGATGAGTCGAGGCATTGTCTATATTAAATAGATAAATGAAGGAGAACCTAATTAGTAGAAAGGAGAAGTGATTTCCATAGTATATATTAGGACAGAAACAGAATCTTAAACCCTGTAAATAAGGCAGATTTCAATAAGCAAGGACTGAGAGGTGGAAGCAAGGAAGAATAAGGTATCTAGTAAAACTAGCATGCCCTCCCTTTTGTTCTTGTGCACACACCCTGACATATGCACATAGAGAAGACAGGAGGACCTGAGGGTGTCCTGGATCTACCACTCTTGACTTCCCTCTCTCAGCTCAGGGCCTCTCACTAAACCTGAGGTTAACTACTTTTGCTAGGCTTGCCAGTGAGCTCCTAGGATATACCAGTTTCTGCTCACCAAGACTGCCATGCCCAGCCTTTATGTATAGAGTGCTGGGAATTCACTAACAAAGCACTGTTACCTTTTTAAAAAAGATTCCTTTATCCACATGTACCTGTCATTAATATTTCCACTTGCTCTGTACTGTGCACTCCCTTGACTGAATATATACATGTATGTGTACACATTGTTTTTATACATTTTGCAGAATATTTGTACACTGTGTGAAGATGTGTTGCTGTAGTTGGTGCAATAAAAAGCTAAGCGGCTAATATCTACAAAAGAGGTATAGGTGGGACTTAACAGGCAGAGAGAGAACTCTGGGCAGAAAGGTGGGGTTGCCGGCCAGAGGTGGAGAAGAAAAAGGAGGTATAATATGGAAGAGAAGTAGTGTCATGTGGCAGAATGTAGATTAATATTGATGGGTTAATTTAAGCTATGAGAGCTAATGGAGACAAGCCTAAGCTAAAGTCCAAGCTTTCATAATTAATAAGTCTCCGTGTTGTTATTTGTGAGCTGGTGGCCAACAAAAAAGTTTGCCACAGTCTCAGGCTGGAGAAAAGGCTCAGCTATCAGGGACACTGAGTGCTCTTCCAGAGTACCCAGGTTTGATTCCCAGCACCCACTTGGTAACTAACAATTGGCTGTAATTCCAGTTCCCAGGGCACCTGACACTCAGGCAATACACATACATAGAACACAGACATACATGAAGGCAAAATACCCATGCACATAAAATAAAAATCTCAAATGAATAAACAAAAGGATAGGGTCTCACTACATACCTCACTATGTACAAGCCTTCAGCTTGGTAAAGTCTTCCTGCCCCAGCATTCTGAGTGTTGGCACTCTAAGCATGTGTCACCATGGCAGATTCAAGCATTGTTCTTCTAAATTACACTAAATGGCACGCGGTTGGCAACCCCTACAGCCTGGGGCACTGAGGAAGAGCTAAGGACCACTAAGCTGGAAATTGTTTGAAATGAAGACACTTGGATCTAAAACTTAAGAAAAATAGTAAATCATTTTGCTCTCTGTATACAAGAGAATGCCTCAGCTTGTGTTTTTGGTTTTGCAAGGGGAAGAGGATAGGCATTTTGATATATAGTTGATAATGATGTAGCAGTTGCATCAGCCTGTCTATCAACTAGACCCTTCAAGCTCTGATAGCTCCCAATTCTAGCTGTGCTCTTCTGTATTGTCAGTGCCATTTTCTCATTTCCATTCTTGATCCCTCAGGACTTTGAGGAGCTGGATGGTTTAAATCATTTTTCTTTAGACAGGATCTCCTAGCCTAGGCTGGCCCAAAGCTCTCTAGCCAAGAATGACCCTGAACTCTCTGCCATGTGTTAGAATAACAAGCCTCTACCACTAATCATGATTTTTTTTAATTTCTCTTTTCAAATGTTTTATTATTTAACCTGATTTAAAAAAAAATCATCTTGAGTTTCCTGAGTAGTTACAAGTTTTTGTCTTATTTTTTTTTAACTGGTTCTCTGTGCTTTAAGGGTTACTATAATGAAAGACAAAGACACGAGGAAGAGTAAAGGTGTTGCATTTATTTTGTTTTTGGATAAAGACTCTGCCTTAAACTGCACCAGAGCAATAAATAACAAACAGGTAAGCCATTCTTTTCATCAAGGTTGTAACCCAAAAGTGTCTGTGTTCATCTAAAGCAAGAGCAGTGGGGCTGCAGGAGATCATAAAGTCTTATTACTATCTGTAATTCAGGAGAAACAATGTCAGCATTGTATTGGGTTATCAAAACATTGGAAGACTGAAGGGGAAATTATGGCATAGAATCTATCACATTTATTAAACAATAATTGAGGAGACAGTATCTGATAACGAAGTCTTGGTGAACTACATCCTCTGTATTTACATTTTCTCTGATTTAGTTATTTGGTAGAGTAATAAAGGCAAGCATTGCTATTGATAATGGAAGAGCAGCTGAGTTCATCCGACGGCGAAACTACTTTGATAAATCTAAGTGTTATGAGTGTGGGGTAAGTAAACCTAAAATTCGGTAACTCTTCTGTAGTATAAAGTGATCTTTATATTAGTCTTTTAGTGGTGCCTGCGGGAGAGGCCGGTGTTCACGGAAAGGGAGACTCGGGTGGATGGAGGACACAGGACTCCAAAAATCCTGCCTGATATATCACTTATTCCCTTTTAACAAGAGTCTCTAAACTTGGTGCTAAGCTAGTAACTTGCAGCAAAAGCCCTCTTACCCTGCTGTGTTATCTCCCCAGCCTCACCACGATTTCATTTTTGTTGAGATTATTTTCAGTTGGTTTGAAATAGGTCTAATGTAGCACAGTCTGGCTCACACTCCCCCATGCAGTAGGTGATGATCGTGAATTTAAGATGCTGGCATTACAAGTATGTCCCACCACTTCTAGTTTATGAGTTACCAAGGCGTTCTGCATGCCACACAAACACTCTGCTGTCAGAGCTGAACCCCAAACTCCTCACCAAAATTTCTGCTTGGCTAAACCCAGATTATGAAAGCGACTTGTCTTGGAGAGTGTAAATTGTTGTAATTTTTAAAAAAGCAGGGTGTGAGAGAAAGACACCATGCGACAGAGCTCAGGTGGAGGGATTTTTTTATTGGGAGAAAGTGAATGGGAAAAGGGGGCAGGAGAAAGGGGAGACCAGCCTCTGGAGACAAGAACAGTAGGAGAGAAGAGACAGACAGGCAGAGAAGCAGGAAGAAAAGAGAACGTCGTGAATGTGCACAGGAGGTGCTCTTAGTGGCTGCAGCTGAGACTGTATCCTGTCAGGACCTCAAGGGCAGGCCAGTACAGATGCCTGAATACCAACATAAACTCATCTTTGTAAACATCACTGAAATGACTCCGTGGGTAAAGGTGTTCGCCATGCATGCCTAATGACCTGAGTTCAATCCTAGGAACCCACATAAAGGTGGAAGAGAACCTAATCCACAAAGTTGTCCTCTGACCTCCACACTCATACTGTGGCAAATGCATGTTCACACGCATAATAATATATAAAACTTAATAGTATCTAAAGTCCCACTTGGGGTGGGACTATAGGCGGAGATGAGTGGGAGAGAAATTGCCTGGCATGCTAAAAGATATGGGTTCAATCCTCAGTATCACAAAGCAAAAAGAGAGAGAATAAAAATACCTAGGGTAGATAATATAAAATAATTTTACCAGTTTCTGAATCTTCGAGGTTGTTTTCTAAAAATACAGGTGGCATATACCTTTAATCCCAGCATTCGGGAGGTAGAGGCAGGAGAGAATCTCTGTAAATTCAAGGTCAGCCTGGTCTACAGACTGAATTCCACGTCAGCCAGAGCTACACAGACAAATCCTGTTGCAAAAGCCAAAAAAAAGCTAATTTTTTAGTTTTCTTAATGTCTTGAAAGATTTTAAGCAACTAATAATTTCTGTTAATTGGATATTGCATGTGTTTGATTGTTGTTGCCACAAGTGTTTAAGTAATTTAGTTAGTTAAGTAGTTTAGTAAGCTAATGTATAGATTGTAGCTCAGAGCGCCTATGTTTTACAATGCAGTATTCTATCTCCTTATAATAATCCAACTCAGCAAAATAGGATGATAATGCAAGCCACGTATGTAAGAAAAAGGAACGAGTGTGGTGCTGGGACTCAACCCCTGCTCTGTGCCCGCCATGCAGGTACTCTGCCCCGGACCTGTATCCCCAGCCTACACTTGTCCTTAAAGCTGAATATTCAACATCTTACAAGTTAATAGAAATAATTTTATCCCCATTTATCAGGCTAATGTAAAGCTTTTAGAGTTGATGATCCATTTAAATTTAGAATTCTTTTGTGTGGCGAAAGTTGAGATTTAAAATTTTGTGGAAAGAATACTTCTTTGCTCCCTAGTTTATCACTGCAGATGCTAGTCCTTAGAGTAGCCCACACTCTGCCTCTTCTATTGGGAAGGACCATGTCTGTTCCTGTGTTCCTACAATGAGAATATGGTTTCTCCTAGATTCTAGCCTCTCATTCACAGGGCCAGGGCAGGTTCCTGTCAATAACAGCAGCTGTCATCTTTATTCTTTTTTTCTTTCTTTTTTTAACAAAAGGAAAGTGGACACTTAAGTTATGCCTGTCCTAAAAACATGCTTGGAGAACGTGAGCCTCCCAAGAAGAAAGAAAAGAAGAAGAAGAAGAAAGTTCCTGAACCAGAAGAGGAGGTGTATGTATAGTAGGCTCACTAAGATGCTGTGTGGTTTTGCCTTTTTACTGTTAGCTGACTGCAGCTGAATTTTTTTTTCCTTTGCTGACCTAGTGAGGAAGTTGAAGTGAGTGAAGAAGAAGGGGAAGATCCGGCTCTGGACAGTCTCAGTCAGGCCATAGCGTTTCAGGTACTGGTGTTCTCCAGGGATCAGGGTGCTTGGGGACCTAGCTCAGTGATGGACCACTTGCTGGGCAGGGCAGAGGAAGGAAGTGGTGTGACAGTGTGTTGTGTCCCGGTTGATTTGTTTTAACTGAGCAAAGCTACAGCCTTTAATCCTGCCTTCATTGAGGCTGAGGTAAAGAACCATGTGGGCCTAGGAATTCAAGACCTGCCAGAAGAAGCTTTGTCTCAGAGAAAGGGGGCAGTATAGTAGGTATTCACAGGGCCGTGTCTGTGAACTCAACACTTAGCAGTGTAGGACAGGAAAATGGGTTTAAACCTAGCCTGGACTACAGAGTGAAACCCTGTCTCAAAAACTGAAAAATAAGCCGGGCGGTGGTGGTGCACGCCTTTAATCGCAGCACTCGGGAGGCAGAGGCAGGCGGATCTCTGTGAGTTCGAGACCAGCCTGGTCTACAGAGCTAGTTCCAGGACAGGCACCAAAACCACAGAGAAACCCTGTTTCGAAAAACCAAAAAAAAAAACCTGAAAAATAAAATTTATCAAGTATAAATAAGAAAAGGCACTGTGGTGTAATTCATGTTAAAGTTTATGTTTATATTCCTTTATCACTGTGTTGATCATCATGTAATCTATGTTTTCCTTTCACTGTGTAAATTTGAGGTAACATTATTCTTAGGTCTTTATCTGAATGAAAAGTTCTCTTTCATTCTTTCTAGGCTGTAAGATCCCATAATATAATAACATACTTTTAGTATATTATTTTAGTCTATACTTTTAGTATATTATTAATCTGTCTTAATTACAAAATTAGGTGGTGGAAATATTGGATCAGCTCAGTGGTTCTCAACCTTCCTAATGGTGCAGCCCTTTAATACAGGTCCTCATGTGGTTACCCCCATCATAAAATTATTTCATCACTACTTCATAGCTATAATTTTACTACAATTATGAATTATAATGTAAATATCTGATATGCGGACAGGATTTGATATATGACCTCCGAAGGGGTCACAACCCACAGGTTGAGAACCAATGGATTAGCTGGGTGTGTTAGCACATCTGTAATCCCAACACATATGAAGTAGAGATAGGATCAGGAGTTCAAGACCAGCCTGGGTAAAATTATTGTTTAAATTAAAACAACAGTTTGATTAAAAATGTCTTTAGCTTATCTAGAAAGAATCTTTAGAAATTGCCTAGGATCGAGCTAATCATATTTCATACTTGTATTCTCACCTGAGAAGGTTGAGGTAGAAGATCATGAGTTCACAGCAGCCTGAACTACCTAACGAGTTCCAGGCCAACATAAGCTACATAGTGAAACCCTGTGTCGAAACAAACTGAGAAACAAAAATGGCTAGGGCATTGGTTGCTACCGAGCACGGCACAATCGTGGGCTGGGGTTGCAGCCCAGCATTATGGAAGTAGAGGCAGAAGGCTCAGAAGTTCAAAGTCATCCTTTCATCGTAAGGAGTTCAACACATCTTGGGAGTAGTGGCCAGGGGTGGGGGGTGGGACTGGGGAATTTCCCTAGGATAATTTTTTTTTTTTTTTTTTTTTTGGTTTTTCGAGACAGGCTGGGCTCGAACTCACAGAGATCCGCCTGCCTCTGCCTCCCGAGTGCTGGGATTAAAGGCGTGCGCCACCATCGCCCGGCTCCTAGGATAATTTTTGAGTAGAACCATGACTGGGATTTGTTGATATGACCTAGGAGGGTGGAAATTGTTTGTGTTCTGGTCTTCTCGTGGTAATTCCTTTGGATTAACATGATGTGCCATACATAACGGGTTTTGTCTGCTTTCTGAATCATATTACAGCAAGCCAAGATTGAAGAGGAGCAAAACAGATGGAGAGGCAGTCCAGGGGGTCCCGCAGCCTCCGATGATTCCAGACGACCAAGGATAAAGAAAAGCACATATTTCAGTGATGAAGAAGAACTTAGTGATTAAAATTGTATTTATTTTGTAAATATTATTCAAATAAAATGTTACTGTACAAAATGCTGTTGTGGTCTAGAGTGCTTTTATTATTTGAGTATGTAAGAACACTTAAATCCAAATAGTTATTTACTATAATATTTTAAAATAATTTTGAAATACCATGTTTCTAGCTTGCCTTACCTCAGTACAAATGTTAAATCTGAAAATCCACTGTCTAAAGTGTTCTAAACTCTGAGCACCAACATGATTCCCGAGGAATGTGAAACTATTTCACGAACAGTATATAAGTCCCTTTCCTGATAGAACAAAATGAGATAGTAAATTAGCTCTGACAGACTTGACTGTGGTCTGAGATCTGCTCCCTACAAGTCAGCACTCATTACCTATCTCTTCATGGGTCTGTCTTTGCCCGACTGTAAAAGGACAGGGGGGTGTTTTGTTTTTTTCTCTCTCCCAGCCATCCATCTCCACATTATTTTTACTAGATTTCTGTTAAACGTTTACTGAATTTGAAGCAGAAAGGATTATGAGTAAAGCACAGCGCCCGCTGTATGGTGCTACACCTGTAGCGCCCGAGCCGCTACAGGTCGTTATGTGAGCCGGGAACTGGGCCTGGAGACTTAAAAATACACACACAGAGAGAGACATGGACACGGGTCATCCTTGATACAAGAATGTCCACTTTATTGTGTTCAGGGGCAGCTTATATAGGGCTCTGGTCACGCCTCAGCTCTCGGGATCTTTGAGCTGCAGACTCATCAGAACCCACTCCCCTGTCATCAGGGTCTCACCCAGAGCAGCTGCAGCCAGCTCAGAGCCAAGGAAAACGGGTCTGGTGATCCGCAGTCCCCAACAATGATGTAAATTCTTTCATGTCATGTATTATATTTCTTTGTATTTGTAACTAAATCCTTATAAATCCTTTATATTTAGCACTATAAAATGGTATTGTGGAGTCTGACTTTAAATTTCTATAGTTGATTGTACAAATTTGCACCTTTTTTTTTTTCTTTGAGACAGTTTCTATGTAGCTTTGGAGCCTGTCCTGCTGTCCTGGCACTAGCTCTGTAGACCAGGTTGGCCTTAAACTCAGAGATCCACCTGTCTGCCTCCTGAGTGCTGGGATTAAAGGTGTGCACCACCATCACCAGACTGAACTTGTACTTTTTAATACTAAAAGCAATAAAACCATGAAGGCAATGAAAGTCTTAACCATTCCACTAATGAAGAATATTAAAGCTGTCAAAGCCAGATGTGGTTATACACCCCTGTAAGCCCAGCAGTTAGACTGATGCAGGGCCATGAGTTAAAGACCAGTGTGGTCTACATAGTGATACTGCTTCAAAACGTTATCTTCGGGCAGAAGAATGGAGAGCATTACTTCCAACTCATCCATTAACGAGAAAACATACTGTAGAAAAGAAAAACATACTAAAAAAGCATTGGGGGACTGAAACAGGAGGATCAAGAATTTGGGTAGGGGAGTGATTCAAGACAGGGTTCTCTGTGTAGTCTTGGCTGTCCTGGGACTCACGCTGTAGACCAGGCTGGCCTTGAGCTCACAAAGATCTGCTTGCCTCTGCCTCTTGAGTGCCCCACCACCAACCCACAAGATCAAGGGTTTAATGTCAGCTAAGCTATATGAGGTCTTATTAAAAACATATATATATATATATATATATGTATGTATAAAATGTGGCTCATAACTTAATATCAAATATGTTCAAAGACTTTAAACCAGAAGTCTTATCCTGCTTTATTCTAGAATGCTAATCAGAAATGCAGGTATATAGTCAAAGATGATGATGCACACCTGTTGTCTCAGCACTTGGGAAGTTAAGGAAGGAAGATACAGAATTTCAGGCCAGAGCCTAAAGGCATGACTTAGCAGCGAGAGTCTCTTGCTATTCTTTCAGAGGACCTGGGTTCAGTTTCCAGCACCCACATGGCAGCTCACAACCACCTAGTAATCCTATTCCAAAGTGTCTGGTACCACCTTCTAGTCTTTGCAGATGCCAGGCAAAACATTCATACACAATAAAAAGAATTCCAGGCCAGCCTGGACTACATAGACCCTGTTTCAAAAATTATTTTTGACAGACGAACGTGCATCTTTGGCCCCTTTCCCACTTAGACCTGTGAGCCTTGGGCAGTATATGTAAATTGAGTTAACTGAAAACCAGTAAGACTGAAATGAGAAATATTTTTTATTTCACTTATATGAGGTGTCTGATAGTTTGAGACCAATCTGTACTCCATCATTTGTGACCTTGCTTCTCTCTCCCTTTTCTCCCTCCCCCTACATCTCACTCTCCATCCCCTCTCTTTTATCTCCCTCTCTTCCTCCCTCCCTGTTCTCTCCTCCCTTCCCCCCCCCCCCCGCCACACACTGAAGAAATGAGTGTTAGTAATTAAAGGCTTGCTTACTGCTCCCAGAGTATCCAAGCTCTCAACCACCTGTCACTCCAGCTCCAGGGAAAGCTCTGGCCATGGTGAGTAGATGCACATATACACATAATTTTAAAATAAATGAAACCTTTTAAAATTTTAAGTAAAGGAACAAATAAATTGAAAGTTTTATCTATATGATAGTAAAACTTCAACATATTAGGGCTGGAGGGATAGATGGTTCAGAGGTTAAGAGATCCTGAGTTCAATTCCAAGCAACCACACGGTGGCTCACAACCATCTCTGAGCTCTGGTCCCTGTTTCTCATGTGCTGACATAGATGCAGGCAGAGCACTGTATACAATAAATCTTACAATCATATCAAAACTCGCATGCTAGCCGGGCGGTGGCGCACGCCTTTAATCCCAGCACTCGGGAGGTTCGAGGCCAGCCTGGTCTACAAGAGCTAGTTCCAGGACAGGAACCAAAAGCTACGGAGAAACCCTGTCTCGAAAAATCCAAAAAAAAAAAAAAATAAAAAAATAAAAAAATAAACATTAGAGGGCTGGAGATAGACCTCAGCTGGTAGGCCATTTTCCCAGTGTGGATGAGGCCCTGGGTTCAATCCCCAGTATCACATAAACCAGGTGTGGTGGTGCACGCTATAATTCTAATACTAGTGAGGTGGAGACGGGAGGACCAGAAGTTTAAAGCAATCCTTGGTGGTGCACGCTATAATTCTAATACTAGTGAGGTGGAGACGGGAGGATCAGAAGTTTAAAGCAATCCTTGGCAACATAGCAAGTTTAAGACTAGACTGAGCAGCTGGGTGCACACCTTTAATCCCAGCACTCGGGAGGTTCGAGGCCAGCCTGGTCTACAAGAGCTAGTTCCAGGACAGGTTCCAAAGCTACAGAGAAACCTTGTCTTGAAAAACCAAAAACAGAAAAAACAAAACAAAACAAAAAAAAAAACCTTTCTCAAAATTAAATGAATGTATGTATCAAACAAATCAATGACAAATTTAAAAAATTCTAAATTCTTAGACGAAGCCTAGAGTCTGAATAATAGTGGGTAAACTATTACTACAGTAATACATCCAAATCTAACCCAGTAAACCCACTGTATTTTTGGGGGGGTGGGGGGAGACAGGGACCCATGTAGTCCAAGCTAGCCTCAAACTCATTGTGTACCAGAACTCCCAGTGTGTTCGCCGTTACCTCTGAACTGCTGAGGTTGCAGGCGGACATGTGACACCATGCCTAGTCACAGTCTGTTTCACCTCAGCTCTCTGTCACAACTCAGACCACCTCCATCGCTTGCCTACCTGACTGGTAGCCTACCTAGGCGTTAGGGCCCTTTTGCACGTCTACCGTGATTCACCGTCTCCTCAGCTACTTCCCTCACACTTAAAATGGAACACTAACCCTTCAGAATGAATTTCCAAAGTAAATTCAGGTTGGTTCACAGCCCATCCTCTATCTCATTCCTTACAGAACAAATGGGAAAACACTGTGATAAACACGGCTGACAAGGCCAAATGTCCAAAGCCATCAGGACAGAAGTGTCTGTGTGCTCAGGTACACACACACACATGGGATGAGCGCGGTTCTGGGTTTAACTTACACTTACGGGAACACCACAGTCACAGCCCTCACATGGACCAGTTATTACCACAAGTACAAAGTACATTGTTAACTTTGTAGGTAGAGCCAACGCTGGGACTCCAGCCAAGTCCAAGGAAACACTCTACACCTGGAAAGGGAACGTCTTTGGCTCCAAAGGTGAGCGCTGAAGGCAATCATTTATGTGGCCTTGTCTGACAGGTCTGTCCACCACTGCACCTGTCCAGAGTGGACAAACTTCAACCAGGATGGATTGCTCTTTAGAACAAGACATGTGGGGGAGGTCATGGCTGCTAATGTTCTAGCTGAATAATTTTTTTAAATGACCAAAATCCTGTTTTAAGATTTTATTCCTGGGTGACTCTTCTTTCAGGAGACTACAGTCATGATCTAAGGTGCATCTTATTTTCTGAGTGCCTCTTTTTCTCTTAACGCTATGTTTAAAGTTTATAATTTTTAATAAGTGGGGTGCGGTCGTGCACTCTTGAGAGGCAGAAGCAGGTGGATCCCCATGAGCTAAATTTGAGCCTGGTCTATATAGTGAGTTCCAGAACAACCAGGACTGCACAGTGGGAGCTCAGTGTATATTGGATTTTAAAAAACAAAAGTCAAAGAAACAACAACAGAAACTCAACTCGGCTTCATTCTGACTGGTTCTGAAATTCTTTTCTGCATCAAAGCCAAGGGTTTTGCCTGCACTGAGGCTCATACTATTTCCCTTTTAATTTGTTCACTTTCTTAAAATTGTTCCTTTATTTTTTGCTATGCTCTTAGTATATAATTACCAGTCTATTCTTCTTACAGTCTTTAGGATCTCATTCTTAAACTCGAAAGTTAAAACGATGAAGCCATCATACAAAACCAGATGGCCATTGACATACTTACAGCATTGTTAAAGGGTCAGACAACCCTGGCACTATATCCTCAGCCCTCTAAGATGTACATAGTCAAACTACATCTATGTCAGGCTCTTGCTTAAATTTGATTGACTTTCTAACACTTTCTAACATGGTTGCCAGGCAACTCATGGTGAAAACAGCTCTGCTAC